ATCACGAAGCATGAGCTGAGAATCATAGGCCGCCGCAGGGCGGCTCTGCGAGCGAGCCCTGGCACCCGCCGGGGTGCGGGTCGCAGAGCGGGCCCTGGTCCCCATGGAAGCTTGCCCCGGCGGGTCACGATAGCCCCGCTGAGAGAAGGCTGCAGACATACACTCAGTAAACAAATCGCAGCAACAACACAACTGAATATAGAAACGCCCACAACAAAGCAGACGAGACACTACCAAAAAGTAATCGCGATGGAATGACTACTCAGATGCCCGTGGCACAAGAATAACCACACCGATCAAATAAATTATGCATGCCCGCCAGAAAAACCCTTGCCCGCCTTGCCCTCGCACCGAAACGCGACACTGAATAAAATTACCGGATGCTGTTAGACGGAATGATGCACACACAACCGGGCATGCACTGCAAAATGACATCGTAATAACATATCTCACCATACATGACAAGCCATAGCACAAAAAACAAAAAGAGAAACCACAATAATATGAATACTCGAATGTCCGTTGCACACGTATGGCCACACCGATTATGGTAAACATAGCCCAACAGGCAGCGAAAGAGTAACCGCAATAGGATGAATACACGAATATCCGTTGCACACTCATGGCCACAACGATTATAGTAAATACAACTGCCCCACCAGACATGACCCTTGTCAAAACACAAAGAAGGATTCAAGACGAAAGCCCCTGTTGAATATTCTAATCGGGCGGAGCCTCACGGGCGGGTCGGGTCGGGCGAGCGGGACAACACCGGACGCATACGGGGCGGCCGCGCGCGTGTGCACTTTGTCGTTTTTTTGCAGTAGAATATGAACATGGACACATCTTGCAAGAGCAGGATTTTAAGATTATAGTATGTTTTACAAGAGAAAGCTCCGGTACACTTCCACGCCCGCGACGCGCGTGTGCTTTTTGTCGTATTTTTTTGCAATGGAATATGGACATGGACACATCTTGCAAGAGCAGGATTTTAAGGTTATAGTATTTTTTACAAGAGAGAGCTCCGGTACACTTCCGGGCCCGCGGTCCCGGACGCGAGCCGGGTCGGGCAGAATGTGTTGTAAAAAATGAGGTTTTCTGATATATGCGATGCGCATGATCAGGATATAGTGTTTTTTGCATAGGATGGAGGGGGTTCGTTTATAGAGCCGGCCACGATCCATTGTAAAAAACATCGTTTTCAGAGCAAGTAGGGAGCGCATGATCAGGAAATCGTATTTTTTGCATAGGACGGAGGCCGGTTTACATAGCGGCCGGTTTGGAAGGATTTAGGGTTTATTAATAATAGAGATTAGAGATTTAGGGTTTAGGGCCGCTCAAAGCAAGCGCCGCCCGTAGCTGAATCTTCTGGCCCGGGGCCCCAAGAAGAACTTTGGGGGCACATCCGAGGGAAGCGGTGCTGTGGCGCCGCCTGGAGCGCAAAACGGAGCCCAATGTTCTGGGGGCCCACGGGAGCCTGGCCATCCCCCTCGTTTTATAATTACTTTGAGCTTGAAGTTCCGCTGGACGCGAGGAAGCTTCGCTCCATTTCTCTACCCTCTGCTTTTAGCTTTCGGCGTTGGAAGCAACTATGGGCGCGAGGAAGCTTCGCTTCATTTCTTCCTTTGGGGACACGGTTCCCACATTTCTGCCCGGGGGCAGAAAATAAGGTATGGTTAGGCGACTTTGGTTCTCTTCCAATTCAGTTTGCGCTTGCGTTCTTGCGAAATCTTTCTTTTTTCCCCCCCCCCAAAAAAAAACGTCCCCCAAAAGCATCCACCAATACTCCCAGCATGGTCTTGCCAGGCTCTCAAGGGTTCTCGGGCATCCGCCTGAGCCTGCCCTGTGTCCTTCTTCTGGACGCCTTGCGGAACTTCCTGGAGCGCTTATTCAGCGTCTCCCCACCAGGAAGTGCGCTCCCATATGGTGACCCTTGCCAGATGATGTCCATCCTCATCCGATCTTATGAGGTTGGCTAGGACTGCGCTAGAACCTAAGCGCGCGCGGAGCGCGCGCGCGTGGTTCTAGTATATATATATATATATATATATATATATATATATATATTATATATATATATATATATATATATATATATATATATATATATATATATATATATATATATATATAAAAATACCGCCCCCCGGTCCCACACCTCCCCGCCACATCTCGGGGACGCTCCCGGTACCGCTTCCCCAGCCTTTTCCGGGGAGCCTCCACAGCGCTCCAGGAAGGCCTAAGACGCCCCCCAGGAGCCCCCAGAATGCGAGTGGATGGCCCAAGATGCTCCCAAGCAGCCCAATACAGCCTTCCGACGGCTCTCGAGGCTCCCAGGTGACCTCCAAGAGACCCCATGAGGGGTCTGATAGGTGTCACGGGACGGCCCGAAGAGGCCCAAATCGTAGATGGTAATTTTTTATATAAAAAAGTTTGGGACTTCTCGCGTTTTCGAGCTTCCAGTGTCCAAGAGCGCCGAAGAGCCTCCCAAGACCGCCACACAACCACCCAAGAGACCCTCAGGACGGCCCCGACACGGGCCAAGAAGGCTTCAAGATTGCCGAAGAGGCGCCCAGCATAGCCCCAGACCGCCCCAGAACAGGCCCAAGATGGGCCCAAGAGCGGGAGCAGGAGGCTTCCAGAGACCTCCGAGAGGCCTCCAGGACCCCCCAGAGGCTTCCAACACACCCCCGATCCCTGAGAGGCCCCAACGAGACCCCGACGAGGCTCCAAGAACAGCCCGAGAGAGCTACGAGAGCCGCCCCGAGAGCCCAAAGAGGGCAACATCGTTAATTCCCCTTGCTTTTTTCCAATGTTTTTCGCCTTCCCACGTGTTCCCGCTTCCAATCTTCAAAGATTGAGGATTTTGGAACAAAAGGGAATTCCCAGAATTCCCTTTTTTCAGCAAAGTGGGACTCCTACTCGGGGGTCCTACACATCCCCTGACATCTGGCGGGTACCGCGCCTCCCGGCTTCTTAACGGTTTCGCGGAGCTTTCGAAGGCACCAAGGAATCTGGGAATTTTGGATTTGGGTTCGATGGTCATCCATTCAGGACCCAGGACAGAAATTCATGCGCAAACCAAGCATGTCCATCTTTCGTTCAAGTGCCGTGTGGGATAGGTAATGCCCGGGTATTCAATTGCATTGCGCTGCAGCCCAGGGTAGCAGCGCCTTTCACGCAGCAGAATCCAGCGAGCTGCAGCCCAAGGTAGCAGCTCATGTACAGCGCTGGCCGCTGCATCCCAGGCACTTACTCAGAACAAGCGACGCCCGCTGGCCGCCAAGATGGCCCCTTAGTGGTCCAAAACGCTCCAAGATGTTTCAAGGCGGCCCCCAGGGGCCACAAGATGCCCCAGTGGAACTCCCAAAGGCCCTCCCAAATGACCCCAGAGAGCCACAAACGCAAAAGCCATTCAGGTTTTCCCATGTTCAGTAAATCTCACGCTCGTCTCCTTCGGATGGCTTCGGGAGAGCTTCACATGGTGCCGAGGCTCGAGACGGCCCCACAACTTCGAAGAAGAGCCCAAGAGGGACCCAAGCGGGCCCCAAGGCCTTCAAGGCAGCCCCAACAGGAAGATCCACAAGAGACCCGTACTTTTCAAACCAGCCCACTTCATATTGAATATCTTCCCACGCCGGCCCTGAACAGCTCGAAGCCCCCGCATATATGATCCAGGGTCGAGGGCCCACGGGCCCCCCCCCCCCCAGATGGTATGGTCCCAGGATTCCTCGGGCCCCCCCCCCCAGATGGTATGGTCCCAGAGACGACGACGACGACGACGACGACGACGACGACGACGACGACGACGACGGCTGCGACGACGGCGACGACGGCGACGACGGCGACGACGACGAAGACGACGACGACGACGACGACAACGACGGCTGCGGCGGCGACGACGCCGGCGGCGGCGGCGACGACGACGATGACGACGACGACGACGGGACGACGACGACGATACGACGACGACGACGACGACGACGGACGACGACGACGACGAGGACGACGACGACGACGACGACGACGACGACGACGACGACGACCTCTGAACCACCACAGCACCACACCACATCCACAGGGGGGGGGAGGGGGGCACCGCAGTGCAACACCACGCCACGCCCACCTCTGAACCACCACAGCACCACACCACATCCACAGGGGGGGGGGGGAACCGCAGCGCAGCACCACGCCACGCCCACAGGGGGGGGCGGGGGGGACCATCGCGCGGGGGGGGGGGCCCAATGGCATCAGCATTGGGGGGGGGGGGCCCAAACCCTGGACCATATAATCCCAAGCAAGACGAGAAACGAAAAGCGAGGACAACCGAGAGAGTCTGGAGGGTTAACGAGGAAGGACGTATAAGGAATATTGGAGGACGAGGTAGGGCAAGGCATGGAATGAGCCTGTCCGAAAAGCACGCGCAGCTCACAACGCCATGGCATGCGCTAGAACCCAAGCGCGCGCGACGTGCGCGCGCGGTTCTGTATAATGCAAATATTTTCCGCCCCCCCTGGCCCCGGGTCCCTCCCCGCCACATCTCGGTGACGCTCCTGGTACCGCTCCCCCGGCCTTTCCGGGGAGCCTCCACAGCGTCCCAGGAGGGCCCAAAACGCCTCCCAGAAGCCCTCAGAATTCGAAAGAATGGTCCAATACGCTCCCGAGCAGCCCAAGTCAGCCTTCCGACGGCTCTCTTGGCTCACAGGTGCCCTCCAAGAGAGCCCAAGAGAGGTCTGATAGGTGTCACGGGACGGCCCGAAGAGGCCCAAATCGTAGATGTTCATTTGTTTTTCCATGGTCCAAGATGGCTTCTCGCGTTTTCGAGCTTCCAATGGTCCAAAAGCGCCGAAGAGGCTCCCAAGACCACCCAAGAGATCCTCAGGACGGCCCCAAGACGGGCCAAGAAGGCTCCAATATTGCCGAAGTGGCGCCCAGGACATCCCCAGACCACCCCAGAACAGGCCCAAGATGGGCCCAAGAGCGGGAGCAGGAGGATCCGTAGCCATTTTGGCTCAAGCCATTTTGTTTCAGGCGAAGCGGTTTTGATTCTACGCATTGATTTCGTTTGCAAATTTTGTTTCATACAAGGCAGTGCAACATCTGAATGCTGTTTGAAAGTAATCAGCGTTCGGGCATTGAGGCATGGGTCTGCGGAGCTGGTGGCACTGCTTTTGCCATTATCAGTGCCGCATCAATGTGTGCAATGTACCTCGAGCTTTCATGCACGGACGGGCTGCAGCCGAATCCGCTCTCCGACCAGTTTCTGGATAAGCATGCGCGCGTTCAGGATGAACCGCAGCCGCTGGATCAGCAGGACGTACGTGCTGATGAAATACGATATTTGAAGAAACGTCTTGCCACATTTACACAACTTATCGCTTACGACGCTGGTATCTATCTGGGGCCTCCCAACTCTGTCCTTGCAGCGCAACGGTCATTACAGAATGGTGCGACCAGTCTCGGAGTCGATTTGAGCCTCACGCAAGATGATAAGCTTGTTGGTGCCCACAGCTCGACTGAATGGATTGCAAATTCTGGCTTCCCAAAGCGGGCGCAAGATTTGATGGACGTTAGTTTTGAACAGGTGGAGTTATCACCAACGTGTGAAACGTTTGAACAATTCTTCTTGTCAATTGGGGTACCATCTTCGGAACTGGTTGGCCTTCAGGCTTGCGAGCGCCAAATAATTAATACGGTTGAAGATTTCTTTGATGCGTTTCCAGGTATCCCTATCATTTTTGATTTGAAAGCAAGTTCTTGGGAATTGCAGCGGAGACAGGTTACTATTCTGCACGAGTTGTTGTATCGAAAATATCCTGAGCGACGTGCAGATGATACGCTTACTTCATTACGGGTGTTTGCTTTTCCAAACCAAACCAATCCCGCAGATTATCCGTAAGGGCTTCGCCCCCTGCCGCCGGCCCCCTCTCTCGGAGAATGGGCCATGGAAGAGCTAAGTCATGAGGCCTTGGCGCTGTCGTGAAGCAGTATCGAAACTTCATGCGAAGCCGATTCGCAATCAGCAAAACCAACTGATCACAAGAGGGGTTACCACACCTGGCGATTGGTAAGACGTGTATGGTTTACGGGCTTGGTTACCACACCTTGCGATTAAAGGGCCGAGGGAGTTCTCGCAGTTTGGGTTACCACGCCTTGCGATGGATGTGCGTGAGGGTGGCACCGAATTTCAGAAATGTGGCAAATCCCTTGTGTTTTTGGACCCTGACCCCGCGGATCTGCGTGAGGGGTGGCACCGAATTTCAGAAATGTGGCAAATCCCCTGTGTTTTTGGACCCTGACCCCGCGGATCTGCGTGAGGGGTGGCACCGAATTTCAGAAATGTGGCAAATCCCATGTGTTTTTGGACCCTGACCCCGCGGATCTGCGTGAGGGGTGGCACCGAATTTCAGAAATGTGGCAAATCCCATGTGTTTTTGGACCCTGACCCCGCGGATCTGCGTGAGGGGTGGCACCGAATTTCAGAAATGTGGCAAATCCCATGTGTTTTTGGACCCTGACCCCGCGGATCTGCGTGAGGGGTGGCACCGAATTTCAGAAATGTGGCAAATCCCATGTGTTTTGGACCCTGACCCCGCGGATCTGCGTGAGGGGTGTCGATTTCGAGCCCCCCCAGCAATTCAGACAACGCGCCCAGGAGACGCTAAAAATCTTGTTTGGGCCTCCCCCCCCCTCGCGCGGTCAATCAACTAGTTACAGTAACCAGCAAGAAGCAGAACTGTAACACTGGAAACTACAAGCTACAACTGGTACAGGAAACTGCGAACCCGCGCGTACAGCCTGGTGGCCCCACAAGGGGGCCGGCGGATTTTGAAGATTGGTTCGGGTCTTCAACGCTGCCTTTCACATTCAGTCTCGGGGTACCCGCGCCCGGGGGGGGGGGCAAGCGAAACAATATTGAGACACTCAGTCGCATTCTCACAAGCAGTACAGCCTCTCAGAACGGGAAACTTCAGATATTCTTGACACCTTCTGAATTGGCAGCTAGTTCTCGTTTCTTCCAGTTTGTTGGACAGGTTGACATAATTTGTGATTTGGCCGTTCACGAGCTCGATGGAGAGGCTCATGCAATTCATATATCACATTACCGAGATCTGAACTCTTGGCAAAGCGATTTGCAATCTTGTGTTGAATTTGGTGTTGCAGCTGTTCATACTTCGAGAATTGATTTGGTTTTGAAGACATTGATAAAATGGTCAGTTAGGGCGAGGGAAATTTCGCCAGCTGGGCCAGCTGCCAGCCTGATCAGCCCCCTGGCCGAGAACATGTTACCAAAAGCATTTTGGCCAGAAGCGCATGGTAGGTGTGTTTTTGCTGAGCGTGGGTCAGACCCTGGTCCAAGTTTAGTTCTGTTGAGCCAAAGCGACGCATCACACCAGACGCAGAGGTTCGCAGTTGGCCCAGAAGTTGCGAACAGAAGCATGTGGATGCGTTGTGCCGGGAAGTTTGCCACGGCCCTCCTGGTGTTACGACTCGTGGAAATCGGCAAACTCCCAGGGCTCGATGAGCCAATTGTTGAGTTTCTTCAATTACAGAAAGTGGAGAACCATTCAGTACTGCAGCGATTGACGTTGCGGCATGTCATGGCAGGCGTGGGTGGCTTACCCTACTGGCACTGGACGCCTGACTGGGTGAAAAAACGAATCATGCCAGCGCGCCGTATATGTGAAGAGGCACTTCGCAAGGTAAGCCCCGCATTTGTTCTGGGCTCCCGATTTCAATATTCCAACATGCAGTGGGCAATCGTAGAGCGTGCTGTCGAAGTTGCAACAGGCTGGAGCTTCCCCGATGCAGCTCGCCGGTATTTGTTCGATCCACTCGGCATTTCGAATCGAACGTATTATCAGTCTGAGACACTGCCTGCTTGTTCCCAGAGTGTTTCAACGCGAGTTTATGAGATCAATTTGCGGGCGGGGATTGGTCTTTGTTCGATTGCCGCGGATATGTTTCTTCTTGGTGAAGCCGCCCGTACCGTTGGATTTCTGTCGATTCGCGGAGTGCAAGAAGTAGTTATGGATCAATTGCGCCATAGATTTCCCGCCGCGATTCCGAGTTTCCTGAACAATGCCCCAGTAACAGATTTCACTGCAAATGGGATAGAATGGTCTGGCCGAGGGTTTGCTGGCTACTACTGGGCAGACGAATGGCTTGTGGGCTATGGCGGGCCAGAAGGATTCTGGGGTCAGAAGGTTCTCTTACGCGTCAGGAATGGACTCGGATCAGGGCCACTTCTGGTACAGTGGGTTTCTACACCGCATTCTAACAAGAGCGCGCAAGATTTTGCCAGGAGCGTGTTTGATTTATTCATTGCTGCACCTGACAGATTTGGCTCCTCATTGCCAGATTGCCAAACAGGCGCTGGCATCAGTGATTCAATTGCAATCCGGAATGTCGCGGCAGAAGTGTCCAACTCGAGTTACAAAACAAGAGCGGAGGAGGATGCACTAGTGCCAGAGTGCATGTACGCAAGAAGAACGTTGGAGCCGCTTGGCGATCACCCAGTGTGCAATCGTCAACATTTGCGTGGAGACTCCCAGTCCAGTGATTATCAAACAATGGCGGAATGGGCCGAGACCACGATCGATGTAATCGGGCTCCGTGCCGAGCCACATAATGTCAAAGAGTTTCAGCTGAGCGCGCAGATGTTGAATGAGGGGCTGAGCAAGAATTGTCGGCTCGAAGGGTGGCTTAAGAAATTGGTGAAATGGCCCATCGACAAACAATGGATTGATATAAAGAACCAACCATCGTCGAGAGTGCGAGATGTGTACGAGTATGCGCGTTGTGGGAACGGCCTTGGGGCCACATGTGACAGAGACGTGAAACATGTGACAGAAGCGTGTAACCGTTTGGCCGCAGCGTCGATTGCATGGAAAATGCGGAGTGGTCTCACAAAGGAGTATCCCGACGTGCCGAGCATGCTCGACATTGTTCGGCAGCACCACTATTGGATGGAAGTTTATTATGGCAAGAATCGCCTGGCACCAAGGCCTCACTTGCTTACACAGCCGAAAAGAAAGGGGCAGGAATATTGTTACATGTTTCCGAAGCCAAGCAACACGCTTTGCCGAGGAGGACTGGCTCAATATCACGCCTTGGCGTCAGAATTGGAGGATCTTCTTCCAGGCGGGCGAAATCTATGGCATCACGAGTTTGCACTTTCTAGGGATTTTACTGCTTATCGTCCATTACCTTCCCTCGCTGGATTTGATATGAATGCGATCGCCAACGAGCGGAAAATACTAATAGTTGCTGGTGCTAATGGCTTCTTCCGTGCACCCAAAGTTCTCATGGACATGTACCGCCCATACTTTGAGTTCGATCGAGTGGTACTCTTCGAGCCTGACTCGCAGGGCATGAATGTGCCATCGCATTATAATGCGAGCGGTAATGTGGAGTGGGTTCAAGGTTTCGTGAAGGTCGCGTCATGTGATGCGTCCGACCTAATCACATACCTGAGTCACAATGTTTCGCCAGATGATTTCGTTGTTGTCGTGTTCGACGTTGACGATGAGCATGCAGGCGCTAGCCATAGTGCCACCATGGAGTGGGGTTGGCTTGCAACTTTAGTGAATCACGACATTCGGCTCATTGATGAGCTTTACATCGAATTACACACGTACAAACCAGAAGGGGGGTGGTACCACGATCGGCACAGTGCATGGGAGCAATACGATGTCATGCACCAGTTGCGGTACGTGTGCGGGGTAGCGGTCCATGCTTGGCCTTGACGTATGCAGAGTGTTGTTTTGGCTATGAAGTGTTTCGCTGTTGGCGTTCGATTATTCAGCGAGGGATCTGTTCGACGCCCCAGTATGTGTGCCGTTCTCGCCAATGCGCGTCAGGCTGCAATGCTGGCTTGGCGAATGGTCAGGAGGAAGGGGGGGAGGGCCGCGGACGGCGGAGGCGCCCTGTAGGCGTGATGTAATAAATGCAGAGGGGGAGCGGGGTGGACGGAGTGGCGGGGGCTCGTTGCGCTCGGTGGGCAAGACCGCTCTCTTTCGCCGACGGCGCCTGCCGGCGGTGAGATCCATCGTCGAGTTTGAGCCGTGGAGCAGACCAAGCCTCCGGAGTTATGTCGATCCTTCTCCTGGTAGGCCGCCGGACGCTAGAGGAGGCAAGGCTCCCCTCCCCTCGCTCCCCCCCTTTCCCTTCCTGTTCGCTTTCCCACATAAGGTGGGTGGTCTTCTCCTTGCCTCCATTTTGTGTCTGGACAGAACACCTAGGCGACACAACCCGAAGGGAGGTGCCCAAGGTGCCTGCATGAATTCACGACATTTGCGCGCACTTGGCTCACGCTTGTTTGCCGGTGCTTCTCCGGTGGAGGAGCCATGGGCAACGGCTTCCAGCAGTTGGGCACTGATGGACTGTAGTGTTGGAGGGGCTTGGTGGCGTTGTGGTTGGGGGAAAAAAAAAAACAGACGCATTCACATTTTTATGGCTGGGCTCCAGTCGGCGCCTGAGGCTCAATTATTACCAGACCGGTCTGCGCGAGCGCGCAACAAAAAAAAAGAGCGGGAGCAGGAGGCTTCCAGAGACCTCCGAGAGGCCTCCGGGACCCTCAGAGGCCCCCAACACACCCCCGATCCCTGAGAGGCCCCAACGAGACCCCGACGAGGCTCCACGAACAGCCCAAGAGAGCTGCGAGAGCCGTCCCGAGAGAGCCCAAAGAGGGTAAACTCGTTGATTTCCAATGGTTTTTCTAACGTGTTTCGCCTTCTCACGTTTTCCCGCTTCCAACTCTCGAAGATCGAGGATGTTTTTTTCCTTCTTAAAAAAAAACAAGTAAAAAAGAATCGAAATTCCCAGAATTCCATTTTTTTCAGAGTGGGACTCCTACTCGAGGGTCCCACACATCCCCTGACATATGGCCGGTATCGCGCCTCCTGGCTTCCCGGGGGGAAGACCCCAAGACGCCGAAGGACAGCCCATGACGACCTCAAGGAGCCCCCAGAACGTAAAGAACGGCCCAACACGCTCCCGCGCAGCCCGAGACACCCTTCCGGCGGCTCTCCAGGCCTCCAGGAGGCCTCCAGAAGCGCCAGGGGGTCCGGAAGATCCCACACCCCTGAGGGGCCCGGCTAACAAAACCAGCGAGGCACAAACAAAAGACAGTGCCGAACAGCGCCGAGGAACTGGAAAAGCATGGAAATCCCACAATTCTGTTTTTTTCCAAGTTTGGCCCCCGGTCTACTCTTGCACAACAGACCACAATTCAAACCCCCCTCACCTCCCAAAAAAGAACCCAGGAAGCCATTGAGGGCCCCAAATCGTTGAACACCTAAAGGAAATTAATGATTTCTGCGTTTCCGCACTTCCCCCTCTATATGATTCCGTGGCTTGAGCAGGGCCTCCAAGGGAGTCCCTGGACGCAAGAAGCGACTAACATGATATTACATTAGTTAGCCTATCAAGCCTAGCTAGAACTTGAGCGCGCGCGAAGCGCGCGCGATGGTTCTAGTTTACATCTGTGTGAGAGCCTGGCCCCGTGGCCCCGGGGGTGGCCCACCTTTGTACTTCGGACAACGCCCGAGTCTCTTCCGAGACGCCCTCGCCTTGGGCTGGCCTTCGGGGCCTCCGAAAGCGCCCCACGAGAGCTCCAAGACGGCCCCATTTCACAGCGTCCAGACCGGCCCAGGAGGCCCCAAGAGAGCTCCAGGACGGACCAAAAAGGGCGCAAGACGGCCCACGAGGCCCCCAAGATGCCCCAAGAGATCCCCACGACAGGCTCAAGAGGGGTCCCAGAGAAGGACAGAGATTCAAATTTTGAGCCTTGGCCCCAGGAGTCCCCCGGGAGGCCCCGAGAGACCCCAAGAGGCCCTAAGAGACTTCCACAACCCCCATGAGGCTCCCAAAAGCCGTTCGAGAGGCCCTTAGGAAGCCCCCAAGAGGCCCAAACATTGCCTTCAATACGCCTCCCTGGAGACCCCAATAATTGCTTTCAAGATACCTCCAAAACGCTTACGTCTAGACCAAAGTGTTGCCAAACACGGCGTCGTGATTCAATGATGCCACGGCCCTGGGCATTATCGCCAAACTTTCCAGGGCCCTTAGGGATTCCTGACAGCTTCGGGTGTCCGAAGTCAAGCGAGCCTAGACCTGCCGGAAGGGCACTGCAGGGAGCCCAGGGGGCCTCCACACGCCCCCAGCACGCCCACCACTGGTTCGATACGGCCCACGAGGCCTCCCAGGCACCCCAAGAGAGCTTCAAACTGCTTTCTGACAGAGTCCCAGTAGGCAACAATCATTAAGTTGCCAATTGGTTTTTCAAGGATGTCTCGTCGTCGCCTGCTCCGCTTCAAGACGCTGCGAGACGGCCCAAGAGGCGCCCAAGAGAACTCCAGCACACCCCACGAGGGCGCCAGGACGGCCCAAGATGGCCCAGAAGGCCAGGCCCCCAGATGGTCCCACAAATGAGCCTGGACACGCGAAACGGGCCCAAAATAGGGGCCCAGAGGGCTTCAAAACTGCCCCAGCACGCCCACCATTGTTTCGAGACTGCCCAAGAACCATCCCAGACGCCCCAAGAGGGCTCCAAACTGTTCTCCGAGAGAGCCTCAATAGTCACATGATCTAAATTGTCCAAGGTTTTTCAATCATTTCCGCGTTGCCGCCTGCTCCGCTTCGCGACGCCCTCAGGCGGACGAATAGACGTCCGAGATCGCCCAACACACACCCCAAGAAGTCGCCAAGACGGCCAAAGAGGCGGCCAAGATGGCCCAAAAGGCCCCAGGCAGCCCCCTAAATGAGCCTTAACACGGCCATGAGCCCTACAGGGGGCCAAGCGGCGGGCTCCAAGACGTCACAGAGACGGCGACGCTGGTTTCGAGACGGCCCCCGCGCCCTTCAAGACGCCCCAACAGGGCTCCCAAATGCTTTCCGATAGAGACACACACAAAAGTTAGACATAGCTGACTTCCCAAATGATCCTCCAGCATTTTCCAGTTGCCGTCTGCTCCCCTGGCCTTGGCTCCAACACTGCCCCAGACGCTCTCCACCTTGCACCAAAGCACCCCAACAAAGCGCCAAGACGGCCGAAGAGGCGGCCAAGATGGCCGAATAGGCCTCAAGACGGCACTCCAAACAAGCCTCGACAATTCAAAAAGGCTTTACAGGCGGAAAGGTGCCAAGGCGGCCCAACCAAATAGCCACTAGCCTCGATTCTCTGGAAGGGCCCTACAGAGGCCTCCACGAGGCCCCAACACGGCAGCAACCATCATGTTCTTAGAGAGCCTTCCGGGGACGTAATTGTCGCCGCCAGTCCGAGAGGGAGAAGGTTCAGGACGATCGCGCGCCATTGAGGGAGAGAAAAAAGCGACGAGAGTCCGATTGTCCTGCCAAAAACCCTCAAGGGGGGCCGTTCGAGAGGAGCTTTCTGCCACCATGGCTGGAAGGCCGAAGACCAGCCACGGGCCGAGACAGGACCCCCCCTCCCGAGGAAAAAGCAACCCGACGTTGTTATTTCCACCCGGCAGGCCATCCCACCCTCCCTCCCTCTTCCTCCTCCTCCTCCTCCTCCTCCTCCTCCTCCTCCTTCTCCTCCTCCTCCTCCCCCTCTTCCTCCTCCTCTTCCTCCTCGTCCTCCTCCTCCTCCTCCTCCTCCTCCTCTCCCTCCTTGTCCCCGGGGGCTCCCACGGGTGTAAAGGCCGGGGGGCCCCCCAAAACGGCGCAGCCCGTCCCTGGTCGCCTCTCTGCCCCTCCTCATCCTCCTCCTCCTCCTCCCTCCTCCTCCTCCCTCTTCCCTCCTCCCTCCTCCTCCTCTTCCTCCCTCCTCTCCTCCTCTCCTCCTCTTCCTCCTCCTCCTCCTCCTCCTCCTCCTCCTCCTCCTCCTCCTCCTCCCCCATCTGCCCTCCTCCCCCTCTGGCTAGAGACGGGGATGGGCCGCTTGGCCCCGCAGGGCTCCACGCGCACCGAGGCTCCCTGCGGCGCGGCCCCCTCGGACGCGCGTGACCTCGAAGTGCACGTCGCTGCGAAGCCAGCGCCTGCAGCAGGGATCACCGGGGCCCTCGTCGCCGGGGACAACAGCAGCTCACCGGGCTCAGCGGCGACCCGTGGCCTGGAGGCAGCGGCCCACCGCCGTTTTCGAGGCCCCGCCGCCTGGATCGTCGACCTCGCCCTGGATCCGAGCAGGCAGCATTCATGGCCAGGCTGGGCGGGCCTCGTGGACGCCACGAAGCAGGGCCAGGCCCGCTCTGCGCTCTACAACCGACGTGGGCCCGGGAAGGCCCGCGTCGGCGCCTCTCCGCCAGCCGGCCAGGCCTACGGATGTCGCGGTCGACGTCGCCGTCACAGGCCGCCGCGCTCTCCGCCACGTGCATCTGCAGCACCTCGAGTTCTCACCGCGCCGACGGACAAGGCGACGACACAGGCGGGCCGCGACAGGCAGCGACCCGCGCACAGCAGCGGCCTTCTCGAAGTTCGCGACACGCTGGGGGATGCCTGTGCGGCCCCGCTCCGCGCAGAGTAGAGGCCGATCCTGAACCTCCAGGGCGCTTGAGCGACCTGCTCGCGCTCACCTCCACCACGGGCCAGACCAGCGCTCCGCCAGGGCACACCGTTGCCTTCAGCACCGACCGGCGCGTCGCCGGTGCTCACCTGCTCCCGGTGCCTCTCCAGCGGACGGCCCCGGTACCCCACGGAGCTCTGCGCGCCGAGGGGCTCCGAGAGCACGCCGCCGCCGCGCAGCGTGACCTCCGAGGCCTCCTGCGCGGCGGCGCGAACACGCCGACAGCCTCCATGACGTCAGGTTGCAGCGTGTGCTCCGACGCCTCCGGCACGGTCCTCGGACTGCCGACAGCATCGCGACCAATTCTCTCTCCAGCGCCTTCGGAGGCAGTCCATGCTAAGGGATACAGTCGGGGCCCTGAAGAAGGAACCCTTTTCGTTGGGGAGGGGCTCCGCGTTCCGTAAGTGTTTCGCAGCTTGCCTCAGGTTTTCCTTATGTTTTCGATCGGAAATCGAAGTTTAACTTATGGGAAAAAGGGGCCTCGTTCCTTATTTTGGGTTCCTTAGGTCAAGGCCCCGGCTGTACCCTGCTGGCCTCCAGGGTGTGGGTGGAGCACCTTGTGGGGCCACGAGACGCGTGAGGGGTGCGCCGACATGGGGGTGGAACTGCTCTGGGTCTCGTGGGGTTCGCTGGTTTTGCCATCGAAAGCGCGACGTCCCCGCACCAAGAATCAGCGGACGTCCGGGGGTCTCAGGGCTGGGTTCCTCGTGGCCGGTTTGTTATGGTCGAGCTCCTTCTGTAGGCCAGAACCTGAGCCCCCACGTCGGGTCCGCCAGCACGCGGGCGTCCGCCTTCCTGACCCCAGCGGCAATACTGAAGAGGAGGAGGAGGAGGAGGAGGAGGAGGAGGAGGAGGAGGGCGAGGAGGAGGAGGAGGGGAAGGCTGAGATTGGAGGCAGGGGATGGGGTCGAGAATTCGGAAGACAATGAAGGACGCGAGTGCGGACGACAGAAACGAGGAGGAGGAAGAGGAGGAGGAGGAGGAGAAGG